TCAATCAACGGAATGCGAGGAAAGTGATTTGCTAGCCTAGGTAACTACCACTTATTCCCAACTCAACTCAACTCATGCATCTCCTCGTGTTTTTTTCTGGCTTTTGACCATGCGTTCCCAGAATAATTTCCTAGCATGCACATCATCGTCATCATTCACATTCTCTTCATCTATGTATGCTAATCAGTCTCCAAGATCCAGAGAGAATAGATAGAGCTAAGTAATCTCGACTCACAGAATCGCTTATCTGCATCTTTCAGTTGCATGAAGATCCTAGCAAGATTTTTATCTTCCCCAAAAGAATCGAGATGGAGTTCAATGCGCCAGTCGGGTGAGTAAGGAGATGCAGATTTGCGATATAGCAAACTATACCCTGTAGTCATGGCTTCGTACATGACCTTCTGCTTCTCTCGACGTCTGTCTATGCAAGCTGAACGGTATTGGTTAGCAATCATAAATAGTTGTATCGCAGGGGTGCGTTACTATCATATAGAATGACCTTGTACCGCTTCATCATTAATCTATATAACAGTGCCAAGCGCCATATACATAGGCCAATAATGATAGCATCTTCCGGAGGTCTCTTAATCGTGTAGTCAAAGGATTTGAGTAATTCCTTTTCGGTTTCCTCTATTCCCTTGGCAGCAATAGATCGGAGCTGGCCTCGTGCGATGGGTGACAGCATTTGTTCGATACTACCGTCAGACATCTTGAGAAGCGGGTTGCCGTGTAGCTTTAGATCAGGTGGGGAGATCGCTGGATGTGTGCCGTGAAGCCAGAGGCTTAGACTCATCATGCGGATAGTCAGATCCACGAGGTTGTGCTAACTTGGTCAATATCTCCCCCGATAATGTTATTGGAAACAGACTTACGAATGGCAGATGCGGCGTGATATTGCAGTACTCAAAGAGGAACTTGTCTCGGATAGGAGGCTCAAAGTCGGGAAGCTGTCTGGAGAATTCTGCCATGAGATTCCTCCCCCATGCATCGAGTTTGTCGGGAGTGGGCAAGGTTCTCTCCTCTATCCTGTATGATGACATCCTCTCAGAGTGCTCTTCCCACTTTGTCTTGCGTCCGAATCCATGTCCAATAAATTCGCAATCCTGAACATCCACCGAGAGAGTAGTGTCCATCGGGAAATAAGCACACTTAACTCCACCAGACTTGATGGAGTGGCCAATGACAATGGTTCGTCTCGATTCGTATGGCTTTATTGGTATGTTGTACTTTCGAAATTTCACGTCGTATAGGTCTTCCAGACTGTCAGTACAATGTGGGCCGTTGGGAGTTGAATAATGAGTAAACGAACCATCGATTTCATTGCGATAGTGTTGCAAGTCAATCCTGATACATATACCAGTAGCCAAGTCTTTCGTTTCCAACAGCTGCTCTCGACGTCCAAGCAGCCTTTCACAGCTCGCGCAAGGTGTCCCGGGAACAGACGAACACTTGAGCTAGTTAGTTTATCTCTCGACAGTGCAGCGGACGGTGAAACATACCTTTGTTTTGTTCAAATAACGGCAAATGAGACAGGCTCCTACCTTCCGAACTGCCTCGGCTTCTTTTCTACCCTTGACAGAGAGTACTCGTCGATCGCATGTCCGTGTGGATCTGGTGACGTCTAGGTTCCCTTGGATGTTGCCTTCACTTGCCGTAGCGACCTGTTGTTTCGGCGGGGCGGGAAGGATTACGGGCATTCGTCGAGGTCTGTCTGAATATGTTGGTGGAATGGGACCAGTAAATTGACTTGGTGTGTCATGAACATCCACCTCATCGCTGTGGATCTTCTCCTTCGATCTAGATATCCCAGATTGATCCTGCAAACCTGCAGGCCAGTCTTCTAATGAAGAGCTTTGTGGCGTGTAGACCGACCATTGTGAAATAGCACCTGCGCTGTTCCCGTTGAAGCTTGAGGCATTTGTTGACAAGCTTCCTATCTGATGCCGATGAGGCAGATCAACGCAACCTCCACGTGAGCTATAGTCAAATGTTCCGTCGCTGGTACTGAGGCTTGAAGAAGGAGTCTGGAAGTTGGCTTCAGAGCTAGAGCTTGTGTGAGAACCCCAATGATATAACTGCTCCCTTCTCCTTGAAGACCCTATTGCGCGTTCGGCCAGGGCCGATTCAGGTTCAGGCATGGTACGCGGATCGGGAAAATGGCTTGGGGGAGGAATGTATCCGAAAGGAGAATCAATCGTGATCTCTGGTGGTAGCCTAGATGGGTCGACCGAGTTCGCTACCCAGTCAGAGACATTCCTTGAAACAGGGGGGTAAGGCTGTTCGAATGTCCTCCGCGGCCAAGGATCTCTGCCAATATTGTTCATATCCATATGTTGGTTTCGACCAAGCTGGGAATGTAAGGATCCTTGAGAATCTCCTGAGATAATGTCCGTGTTGCTTACTGGATGCAAGAAGGTATAGTTGGTCTCAGGGGCTTCAAATCCGTTTTGGAAAAGGGCCATGTTGCCAAAATAGGAGTCGTGAATGGGAGGATGTTGAAGGCTATCCATAGGCCAAGAGGTTGAGTCTCTGGCGCCGAAGTCATCAACTCTGAGAGACGATTGCATTGAACGTCTGGGCGGCTCGAAATACATAGCTCCATATGCTGTAGAGGGATCGAGGTCCATGGGAAATATAGTGCCGGGAGTCCTGGGAACATAGTCATATTCGGCTCCATCGTGTAATCGTTTTCTTCCAGCTGGAGTATTGATTGCTGACGACATGTTCTCGAGTACAATAGTGCTGACTAGCGTAGAATTAGGTGTGATGAAATGAGGTCCTAGAATTTGTCCAATATTTCTTCGAGTCGAAAAAAAGAGGGAGTTGAGGCGCGAGACCATTAATTTGTGCGAGGTTGATATCAATTCGGTCGACGACTTCCTAAAGATTGAGAAGATATGTATATATCCACAGCATATCGTATGATGCATAGCAAGCGTCCCGAGCAAGGCGTCTAGCAAGGCTGAAGCCAAATGCCCTTTTTCTGCAAGCTTGGCTAAGCGGACCAAAGAGCTCTTTTGAAATCGTGCGCTGGCATCTGTGCCGCTGATAGATCTTGCATGGTATCATGTTTGGCCAATTGAATCGTTTCGGTGTAGATGAGACCAACTGTCAAGAAGAGGCAAGGCAGTCTGACTCACAAAGGGCGAAAGTTCGCCGAAGACTGACCAGTGAGGCTCTTGTGAAGGGTCTCGGAACGTGACACGGGAGATCTGCATGCTATCGGACAAGATTTCGTGTAATTCCTCGCCGATGCCGCTCCCCAAACCATAAATAAGGTTGTGGGGAACTGATTCTGTTTCGTGGAAATCTGACATGAATCCAAGACGCGGGCGCCCTCATGCGTACTCGGTGAGGGCATTTGTACATATACCGAAACAACCTCGCCGTCCGAACATCAAGTCGACCAATCACAACGTATCGGTGTGAGATTGGCTAATCTGGACTACTCCAACATGCATCTCAAACTCGAATCGACCACTCCACACATACCCCCCCAAGAATGAGAGAGGTAGAAGTCGTCTACACCGGTAAAGAGCCGCTTGACGTGGCATATGAGGAGTACACCGAGACCTTTTCACTGGTGATTGACGATGCTTTGTCGGTGTCTTCCGTTCTGTATTCGTCGTTTCGGCGTAGAGAGTCTGCTCCGGGATGGTAGGAGCAAGCGAGCATCCTTAATGGCACATGGCATAAGTAAATGCCATAGTTCCGGATGTTTTGAGGTGATAATTCCGGACTGATTCCTCTGTCGAATCACCTATACTAAGACTCCGCCGTCAATTCAGCATTTTTTTGGGCATAATTGTGACATGATAGCGATGTCCCTTGAACAGTCATCCGACGCACGGAGTTTGGAAGGAAGGACTACATATACTTCTCTCGTGAGCATCAACGGTAAGCAGATGTCTCGGAGTAATGTAAAACTTGCGGGATTAATCGGTTCTCAGGAGCATTTGGCCCAACATTCCAACATAATCACGACGACTTCGCAAGTTATGCCGCTGAGCATATACAGGATGACGAAACATGGTCTACGACTGTCAACACAAATTCAAGCAATGAAGCAGATGGCCATCAGGAGAATGCGCAACGACAGAGTAGCAAGAAGGCAGGAAGGAAGAGACAGAAGAAGGAACGGAGACCGAAATAAAGTTAAAAAATTTGGCAGGTTCTGTCTTGGGATACGAAGAAGGAGCGAAAAGAAGATAGGCAATATCGTTATCTTTATTTGTACTTTGCATTATTCTAATACACTGGAGGATGCGAACTTTATTGTACTTGAATAATGATGAAGAACAGCAAGCAACGAAACAAATAATTGGAAGAATGAGAAAGCAAAATTTTCAACAGTTCTAAGAACAATTGTGCGAGGTTGGGAGCGCCAAGCTTGAAAGATGCCTCACCGCCTTATTGCAACGCGATTTGGCAGAATAAGGCGGTGAGCAGTTCTCCAGGGCCACGAAGATGTAGACATTCTAGATCGACAATTACCTACTAGCCCCAGAACAGGGCTTCTCAGGCCGAGGAGCATTTGGAGGAATCATAGATGTCAATAAGCATTTTCCTGCCAGTTCTATTAATAGAACCACCAAGCAGGCATCTTGGCGGAGTGGTTATCGCGCTAGCCTAGAAAGCTAGTTCCTTCGGGAGCGTAGGTTCGAGTCCTACAGATGTCGTCTTTTTTTGCTTTTCTTTTCCTTATTTTCTCCTTCCTCTTCTCTACTCTTAAAAAAAGATAAGACTTTTATCAAAACGCTCAAATTCTGTGAACCGAGGAATAAGCGAGTCTAGCTAAGGTAGGTAGGCGAATTCACCGGCGAGCCCCTTACAGAAATTTACCCGCGAAAAATGACTTCACACCGTTTGACCCTTCCCTTTTCATCTCGCTGGCTACCACAAACGAGCTGTATAGTTTGAAATAAGCATTTTCTGTCCAACGAATCAGCGAACAGGCACTGTAAGTTTCGCTTGTCTTCTTCAAATAAATCCAACTAACATCATCTAGTTGGCGGAGTGGTTAACGCGACGCCCTGCTATGGAATTACTCCTAGTTGTCAGGCGTTTCCTTAGGGAGCATGAGTTCGAATCTCATAGGTGTCGATTCTTTTTTTCTTTTTCTTTTCTTTTCGCTTCTTGTGTGATCTCTTACAAGATCATTTGTATTCATTCTTTTACCAAGCTTGATGTTAAACTGCGCTACGGGTAACACTTCGGCAATATGATTGAGTAGTGTCGATTTATTATTTACCTTTGTTCTCGAGTTCCATCAAGAGACAGTCTCTATAGCCTTGGCTCCATCCTTTTCGATTTCGATATCGACCTCTGCTATAGGTCCGCCATGGCTGTAATTTCTCTCAAGCATTCTCTCCCTTTGTACTTGAACATCCATCTGATCGGCCAAAAATGACAAAGCCTGCCCCGCTTCTCCAAAACTCTCCAAGCCTCGACTCTTCTCTTCCTCCTCATTTGAAGGGAAGGAAATCAATCCTTGCTGGAACAAATATCCTCCCAAAACACCCAACCCCGCAATCAGCCCTCCAAAAGCGTACAAATATCCCCAACTTGAATCCTGTGCTCCCTCATCAGGCGTCTTCCCACCATGCTGCCTCATTCTTGTATTTCTCCTCAATTGACCAATGACAGGTATTGAATCAGCCATACTGGTTACAAAAGCACTACCTACTGCCGCTGCACCTCTATTCTCTGGTGCCTTCCAAGGCAGATGGCCCCTCCCTCTCAATCTCCGTAATCGTACATCTAATTCCGAATCCCCCAGCTTCGTCAAGAATGCATCATTCAAACTAACATTCTTGCTGAAGACTGTATCCCTTATGCCTTCCGTCCACTTGCACAATCCAGGGAATTTAGTCCGCATAGTCTTCGATAGCCATGGTTGAGGCAGCTCCGGAATGAGCATCAAACATAGATATCCCAGCGCCAAGCAATCCAAACTCGTGAATTGGGAATCAGAGACAAAGAATTGTTTCTTGCCTTTTAAAATCTGCAAAGGCTCCAAGAAATTTGTAGCCAAGGCATCAAGTCTGATCTGTGCACTCGCCTCAGGCGACGCTGCAAGCAGACTCGAGACTGTATTCTTCGGCCGCCGTAAACTCTCTGGTATGATTGATTGTTCTTGTGACGGCTTCCCATCCTCCGCATCAATATCTAATGACGAGAAACCAAGATGTTCTGTTCTTTGTTTCGCCGCCGCTCGAGTTGCAGGCGGGGTAAGGTATGGGAGGGGGAAAGACTGGATCGTATTGTATAATGGTCGGGTCACGGTGCTGTAATTCTGGGAAGAAACATAGAGGGAGAGGTCGATGAGGGGTTGGCCATGAGATTCTACGAAAGAGGAGAACCTGTTCTATATCAGCCACCTATTCCATAGATTGTAGCAGGAGAACTTACGCAATACAATCTGCACCCTCTTGTTCTGGTAATCCGGCATCCAACACCCATTCCCCAGCTGACAGCTGCGCGATGTAATGGAATATATTGCGAAAGCCACCAATCCATATGTCGCCATTGCGAAGTGCGGGGAGCTCGTCTGTCGTATAGGTTAGTGAGGGGAAGCCTGTACGGATTGGAACACGTACTGGTTGGACTCAGTCCTGGGTCGCTGCTAGCTATCAGCTGCCACTTCCCACGAGGCACAGCTTGCTGCAGATATGCAATTGCAGCTAAGCAATGCGCGTCCAAGGAAGGTAGACCGAACGCTGGTCCCCAAACATGTAATTCGAGCATGGTGTTGAAAGGAGGTGGAAATTAGTTCGTGATATGAACGAAATCAAAACAAGTTTCAGAGAAGCCGACGTTGCATTAGATGTTCGGATCAAATATGCTGTGTATCATGCAATCGCACAGGTGACATGTTCTACAGCATTTTCAAGCAGTGTGGAGTCGTGAAGCCGTCCCAAAACGCGACTCGAAATCTCGGGTGCACGTGACACCTCATTTCCACACCTGGGCCTCGCTCCCCTTTTCCAGCTCTCCCCCACACCGCCCCAAATGCGGCCCTCCCTCCCTTCCGCACTTAGCCGTGCCGTCTCCTCGTGGTCTTCTTCCTGCCCTCCTATCCTAGCCCTCTAACAATCGCTTTCTCCTGTCCACGAACCCACCAGTAGCCGCCGTGCCCGCTCCCCCTTTCTGATACCCGACCCCCTCACCCGCCCACTGGGAGCTCCTCGAGTCGCGGCAAGCGCTCCTTTCAAGCCTCATGCTTCGAATCGCGGAGCTGGTGCGGATTTGGGACAAAATACCGTTCAAAGTCCAGTGCAGGATGCACGACATTGTCTTCAACGTGTAAACTCAGGCACAATATTTTGCTGGTAACCAGTCCCAAGTCACCATTCATAGATATTCCTTCTCCCCTCCTTATCCAGGCAGCTCTTTTTACAGAAGCAGATATTGTATCTATTCTTACTATACGGCTATGAGAGGAGTACGAGGGCTTCTCTTGGCCGTTATCCGGCTTACTATTACCATTCTCTCTGATATTCGGATCCTCCTGTGCCTCCTGCTTAGTTACCAAGCCTGCAGCTGTGGTGGTTGCAGATGACAGAGCCACCGCTGCACACCTCCTGACGATCCCCATCCGATCCACTGACTCGTTAATCGAGACGCAAATGTCAGTCTGCAGGACTGCAGCGAAGATCAATCAAGTTCCACGCTCACCACACATGTCCCAAGTTCCCTCCAAAACGGGTCGGGAACGGGAGAGGAAACGATCATTCAGGGGTCTCTGTATCTTTTCTGGGTCTCACAACTTCACTACTCACTTCAAATACTTTTGAATTTTTGGTTATCGGCGGGCCCGGGGCTGAGCCGATGGAACTCGTGTAGTCCTGCACTTAGGAAATCGAGATCTATGATGCGGTTGCACATTGAACATTTGCTTTTTGCGGCATCCCCGCTTTCGCAGTGGATTTTGTTCAGCTGATCCGGTGTGATTGCGAACGGATTAGGTCTGGATCATCAGTCCTCGAGTCCCAGTGCAATATTCAAGCTCGACCGAGACCTTGATCTAAAGCCACAGAATCATAGCGACTCATGCTATCTCAAATGTAAAGGGGAACAAAGGAGGAAAGGAGAAGAAGGACAGGACGATGTCACGATAGGAGAAGGGAAGAGGAGCGAGTATTCCTCGGGCAAGAACCAACCGAGAAATACCTCTCCTCAGGTACTGTACCTACCTACCCTACGGAGTTATACTACCGTCAGTCCAGCAATTCTGGAACAATTGACACCGTATTCCATTCCGCAATCCCATAATCCCATGCACAGCACCAAAAACCCCACCATCCAAACCTCAAACGTGGGGTTTGCCCAAACCGCCAACCCCATCCCAATCCCAATCCCAACCCAACCCACCAATTCTCAACTCCGGTAACAGACGACACAGACACAGACACAGCACAGACAGTAACAGTTCGTGCCAGGGCATCGTAGACCTCACTTTCCTCCTCCATCTCTCTCACCGTTTTCCTTCTCATCCCTTCCCCTTCCTCATCTCCCTCTTATTCCCGCCGTCCGTGGGATATCCTATACGATTTACGGTGTAAGGATATATATTCGCCCGCACGAGCAAGTTATCACCCCTCACTTATAGCCCAAGACGCCAAGTATCCGGATCAGGCAATCCCAAGGCTGGGAATGAATCTAGAAACCTCCCCTCCGTAACCTGGCCAACCATACTCTACGGTACAGTACTCTCTAGCCAAGCTTCATCTTGTCCCGTAGAGTACTGTACTCAACTCACATCCCGCTTTGCTTTGCTTTGCGCGGATGCCCACCAACCTCTCTCTCTCTCTCCCACTCTCTCTAACTCTAACGATTACCGCTACCGTAACTCCCAACCCTAACCAACCCTCTCCTCCCCCAAATCCCAATTCCGATACTGACACCAAACAACCCTCACCGTTTCCTTAAATCCCGGGAGATGTGATGTGATGTGATGTGATAGAAATTCCAAGCTCCAAGCTTTACTCTAGTCTGAGTCTAGCCAAGCCAGGGCTGTCGATTCAGATCCGATCAGCTGAGCGCTTGCTTGCTTGCTTGCCTTACCTTGCTTCTAGAAACGCGACCAAGAATCATAGTACAGTAGCACCACGGTAGTACCGTTAGTACAATACGAGAGCACAGCACCGAGTTTCCGCAATAAATGACGTTGCGGGCCGAGCGAAAGTACAGTAGTCTGGGTTAGGGTAGGGTATGGTATGGAGTTGGGATTGGGATTGGGATTGGGGATGGGATATGTGGGATCCATGTCGATAGGCGCTTGCTTGCGGGCTTGGTTGCTGACTGATGACTGATAGATGCGATGCGGTGAGAGGTGGTGGACCGAGGTGGTAGGATCTTTTAGTCAGTTAGTTATTTTAAGTTTTTGGGGAAAAAGAAAAGAAAATGGATGGAAAATGGATGGATCTGGATGGGATTGGGATTGGGATTGTGCATGCATGGGTGTATGGATAGCTATCTTGGGATTTTGAGATGGATACGGTGGAGAGAGATAGAGGGATAGAGAGATAGGATCAATTGAGCGGGTAGATCTAATTCGGATATGGGATATGGGAATGAGTGGTCTGAGATAGGAATGCTTATCATCACGAAGCTGTGAGCTGCTGAAATGCGGGGTGGATTGTGTGTACACATTCAGAAGCATGTGCCTGGATCCGAGATGAATTTAGATGGGCCGCATATGAATGTGGAAGGAATTATGTTAATTCTCTCTCAGCCTCTTTGCCAAGATTTGAGAGTAGTAATAAATTTGGTATTGGGTATTGTTATAAAGTGTGCCAGGATGCATGCATGGTTGCCCCAGAAATTCCAGAGCACGTCACTTCCTATCGTGACCAAAATACCAGTCTTATCTCCTCCCATAGTTTCCCAAGAATGAAGCCCAATCCCAATCGCATATCTATGCCCGTTTCCATCCCTGCCAATCTGGCGTGTCTCATTCCCGTCCTCCCTAGGTGTGCCGTCGAAGAAAAAACTGTAGAACGGAAAAGGCGCCGAAGATGGTTGTACAGAGACCAGGAATGCGAAAGCTCAATTAGGATGTGTGCTAGCTTGGGGTATGATAAGTGTGAAATAATAAGCG